CAGATTCAGCCGCTGTTGAAACTGATCAGTTTCAGCAGCGGCTGAATCTGGATGCCAGTTCCGACTTACATACAGATTCAACTTAAGAACAAACCTACAGTCCCTATCTTGTACATAACCCGGGGACTGCCTGTACTTTGGGGATTTTCCTTGTCTGCACATCTTCTTCTTTTGATGTCACAAAACTGGGTTGTCTTGTGCAGATTCAGCCGCTGTTGAAACTGATCAGTTTCAGCAGCGGCTGAATCTGGATGCCAGTTCCGACTTACATACAGATTCAACTTAAGAACAAACCTACAGTCCCTATCTTGTACATAACCCGGGGACTGCCTGTACTTTGGGGATTTTCCTTGTCTGCACATCTTCTTCTTTTGATGTCACAAAACTGGGTTGTCTTGTGCTAGAGAAAGATGGAGGGAGGTTGCATCTTTGCAAACTAATGAATGCCGCTTGAGATCTCTGGGGAGGGTCTTTAAAGAGACATAAGCTTTACCTTTCAAAAGGCTGAATGCTTTGTTTCCTTAGCACCTATATTCCATGAGCCCTAGAATTTCAACATGCAAATTATTTCTCTAGATCCATTGAATTGAATCATATGTTTGATGCTATCATTTTTAAATATTGTGGGACTATATTTATTAAATGCTTTATATAATACCATATCCAGAACAAAATAAACATTCATATCCTTCCATGAAGAAATTAAAATTATTATTACTACCTTAGCAAAAACATTTATTGAGCTACTTTTTTAGTTTCTTTGCTGTGGACTTGTAATAGTGAATTTGATTTGGTAGTATACTTTGTATGACTAGATTTGAACTTTTTAATTTAAACATCTACATTATACATACCATTTATTAATATCCTTATGTTTATCTCCTTTGTTATAGCTAGCATGGTTTTAATGCTAAGGATTAGGTAGCTACAGATTGGATTTAATGCTAAGGATGGTTATGTTTCAAACACCTTGTTTATGGCTCTTGAAACATATTTTCTAAAACAAACTAGAAAAGCTCAGTTATTTTAAATGCAGTAACATGTGACTAGGCCTTGGAATGTCCAATTTGTGGGTTCATATTGGAATTCATACCTTGTCATAGTTAATTGTCTGCTTTTAAATGTTACTTAAAGTGTAAGTTGGTAAAACACTGAATGTTCTGAGATCTTTTTTGCTGCCAGTTGGATTTTCAGAAAAAGGTTAAATGGTTTCACTTGTATCCAAATAATATAAAATACTAGATGATGTACCTGGCATTCCTTGGGTCCTTAACTCAAATTTTATTTTTCTTTATTTAAATCATTGGTCTGGAGTGGGGCTAGAGATGAGTGGATCAGTATGCAGTTTGCCCTAGGGACAGAGGACTACCATAAGCCTCTCCCACTGCAGAAACTTGGGTTGGGAGAAGCAACTGTCCATAGGTGCTTGCAGCTGCAGTGGACACATGCATGCATACTCTGTGTCTCTCTCTAATATATAGTAAATGGCTGTCCCTTTCTCCACCTCTGCCCTCTATTGCTCTAATGGTATTAGCTCTCCCACTCCCCATCTCTGGTTACTTGCTGTTCTTCCCACCTTCCCTCCTCTCATGGTCATTATACAGTATAACTGACCCTGCTTTCCATCCCATATCCCCATCTTCCCCATATGGTCATTATATAGCATAGCTCTCTTTTTCTGTTTGAGAAACAATCGCATGCCAGGCACATCCCATTGTCCTGGTACAACCAAACCCTTATCTTGCTTTAAATTATGATAAGAGGAGGCTATATACTGAATTTGGTCATCCTAGCTCTTGTAGTTTAGGAGGAGTTCTTGAAAAAACAAACTCTTAAACTCTTTCAAATATATAATAGATTGTAAGATCTATTGACATTGGGTTTATATATGTAGAAAGAACTCCCTTTAACAAATAGAACTAGTGTAACAAGTTGTGAGTTTTTGGCAAATTGTATCTACCTATGTTATAATAGTCCCTCAGCATTTGCGTGAAGCATTTTCTTCTTTTGAATACAGGCAGTCCCCGACTTACGCGGATCCGACTTATGTCGGATCCGCACTTACGAACGGGGCTTTTCTCGCCCCAGAGCTCACGGGCGGCGGGTCGCCACCCATGTCCTTCGGGGCGAGAAAAGCTTCTCCCGGTCTCCCTGGTCTGCTGGGGGGGTCCAGCAAAGCCGCTGGACCTCCTCCCCTCCCACAGCAGACCAGGGACACCCGAGCAAAGCTGCCGCCTGGGCGGCTTTGCTCCTGGGCAAACGAGCAAAGCCGCCCAGGCGGCAGCTTTGCTCGGGTGTCGTATTTGCTTTTTTGTGAGTCTCTTCTGCTACTTGATTGCATACTTCAATTTCCAAATGAGGTTTAAGGTTGAGCAGTCAGTTTATTACTCTGGTGATTGTAACTGAGGTTCAACTGTATGTAATATCAACCAGAGTATTAACTGTCTTCCTAAATACTAACTTCAGGGTTAACCTTTGATTATAGATAAGTATGGAGGGGTGAGGGTTTTTTTTAAAGTTGGTAAATGTCAATAAGCACTGATTTCATCAAGTATACACAAGCTAACAAAAAATATTCCTTTTGATAACAGATATTTACAAATAGGCAAAGAAAGAAAAAAGCTGCTTGAGAACTTCAGAGTTTGCGTTAAGGATATATATATAATATTCTGACAAATGATGTTAACAGTGTGTTTTAAAGGTTTTACAGCTTTAACTCTTTCAATCTCAACATCTAATGTCATTTAATAGCCTAACCCTACCAGCATGACACTTAATATCCCATATGTAAATAAAGTTCTTAAAAATACTGATATCTGCCAAAATTTAAAATTCTTTTTAAAAAAACACAACTGAATGCTGCCACACCTAGTTATGGACAAATAAAGCAGTGCTTAATATATTAAGCAAAACTAAAGATACCCAAGTGTGTGAAGAAGAATCAATTCAGCTAGCTTAAAGTAGATACAGGTAGTCCCCGGGTTGCGTACAAGATAGGGACTGTAGGTTTGTTCTTAAGTTGAATCTGTATGTAAGTCGGAACTGGCGTCCAGATTCAGCCGCTGCTGAAACTGACCAGTTTCAACAGCGGCTGAATCTGGATGCCAGTTCCGACTTACATACAGATTCAACTTAAGAACAAACCTACAGTCCCTATCTTGTACGCAACCCGGGGACTACCTGTATCTACTTTAAGCTAGCTGAATTGATTCTTCTTCACACACTTGGGTATCTTTAGTTTTGCTTAATATATTAAGCACTGCTTTATTTGTCCATAACTAGGTGTGGCAGCATTCAGTTGTGTTTTTTTAAAAAGAATTTTAAATTTTGGCAGATATCAGTATTTTTAAGAACTTTATTTACATATGGGATATTAAGTGTCATGCTGGTAGGGTTAGGCTATTAAATGACATTAGATGTTGAGATTGAAAGAGTTAAAGCTGTAAAACCTTTAAAACACACTGTTAACATCATTTGTCAGAATATTATATATATATCCTTAACGCAAACTCTGAAGTTCTCAAGCAGCTTTTTTCTTTCTTTGCCTATTTGTAAATATCTGTTATCAAAAGGAATATTTTTTGTTAGCTTGTGTATACTTGATGAAATCAGTGCTTATTGACATTTACCAACTTTAAAAAAAACCCTCACCCCTCCATACTTATCTATAATCAAAGGTTAACCCTGAAGTTAGTATTTAGGAAGACAGTTAATACTCTGGTTGATATTACATACAGTTGAACCTCAGTTACAATCACCAGAGTAATAAACTGACTGCTCAACCTTAAACCTCATTTGGAAATTGAAGTATGCAATCAAGTAGCAGAAGAGACTCACAAAAAAGCAAATACTGTCCATTACTCTAAAATGTAAAGCAATAAAAAAAATTGGACAAGGTAAGGAAACTGCTTTTTTCATTTAAATTAAAATGATTAAAAGCAACGTTTTTCTTTTGCATGTTAAAGCTGCAAAGCTATAATGTTCAGTTGTAAGCATTTGTAAGAATGATCATGTTTTCAGAGAGAGACACTTGAGAATTATGAATAATCTCCATTTCCAAAGTGTTCATAACTTCGGATCTATTTTATTAGGTTTATTGGAGAAATGGATGGATTTACACTAAAGTCAACTGTGAGAAAACAAATTTAATGAGGCATATGACGCTCGAAGGCTCATATTCTCAATTAAAATCGGTTTGAGATTTCTGTAGCCTTAAAAGAAAAAAGACACTGTAAACAACATCAGCATTATTTGTTGTTCGATGCCTGCCATTATCCCTTGAATTATGTTGATAATGGAAAATTGCTGATTTTACTTTATTTTCTTGCAGAGTAACAGCTATCCACCAATGTCAGACCCGTACATGCCTAGTTATTATGCTCCATCCATTGGATTTCCATACTCTCTGAGTGAAGCAGCATGGTCCACTGCTGGTGACCCACCAATGCCATACTTGACAACCTATGGACAGATGAGCAATGGTGAACATCATTATATACCTGATGGTGTGTTTAGTCAACCTGGGGCTTTAGGAAATACCCCTCCATTCCTTGGTCAACATGGATTTAATTTTTTTCCTGGGAATGCAGATTTCTCTACATGGGGGACAAGTGGATCTCAGGGACAATCAACACAAAGCTCTGCTTATAGCAGCAGCTATGGCTATCCACCTAGCTCTCTTGGTAGAGCCATAGCAGATGGACAGGCTGGCTTTGGCAATGATACTTTGAGCAAGGTGCCTGGGATTAATAGCATTGAGCAAGGCATGACTGGACTGAAAATTGGTGGGGATATGACCGCTGCAGTGACAAAAACTGTAGGGTCAGCTCTCAGCAGTACAGGTATGACAAGCATTGCAGCAAATAGCGTGCCCCCAGTTAGCAGTTCAGCACCTAAACCAACCTCATGGGCTGCCATTGCTAGGAAGCCTGCTAAACCTCAGCCGAAACTCAAGCCTAAGGGTAATGTGGGAATTGGGGGCCCTGCTATACCACCACCTCCTATAAAACACAACATGAACATTGGAACTTGGGATGACAAAGGGTCAGTGGTAAAAGCACCCCCTTCCCAGCCAATACTGCCTCCTCAGACTATAATACAGCAGCCTCAGCCATTAATTCAACCACCACCATTGGTGCAAAGCCAACTGCCTCAACAGCAGCCTCAACCACCACAACAGCAACAAGGACCTCAGCAGCAGGCTCAGAACCACCAGTTGCAGCAGCAGCAACAGCAGCTGCAAAACCGCTGGGTAGCTCCTCGTAATAGGGGCGTAGGCTTCAGCCAGAACAACGGAGGATCTGGCAGTGAAAACTTTGGCTTAGGTGTTGTACCTGTCAGCTCTTCACCCTCTGGTGTAGAGGTTCACCCAGTACTGGAGAAACTAAAGGCCATAAACAACTATAATCCCAAAGACTTTGATTGGAACCTGAAGAACGGACGTGTGTTTATAATCAAAAGCTATTCGGAGGACGATATACACCGCTCCATTAAATACTCTATCTGGTGTAGTACTGAACATGGTAATAAACGCTTGGATGCTGCTTACCGTTCCCTGAATGGAAAAGGTCCACTCTATTTACTCTTCAGTGTGAATGGCAGTGGACATTTTTGTGGAGTGGCTGAGATGAAGTCTGTTGTGGACTACAATGCATATGCCGGAGTCTGGTCTCAGGATAAGTGGAAGGGGAAGTTTGATGTTAAGTGGATCTTTGTCAAAGACGTTCCCAATAACCAGCTGCGGCACATTCGTTTGGAAAACAACGATAACAAACCTGTTACCAATTCGAGGGACACTCAAGAGGTACCCCTAGAAAAAGCCAAGCAAGTGCTTAAAATAATTGCTACTTTCAAGCATACCACCTCAATCTTTGATGACTTTGCACACTATGAAAAGCGTCAAGAGGAGGAGGAAGCCATGCGTAGGGTAAGAATCCAATTTCATTATAGTCCTCTTTCTGTAGTGTCTTTTTGATAGCCAAGTTATTTCTTACAATTCAATTTTCAATATACATCGAAGCAAAAAGTAATGTTGCTTTGTCCCAGACTAGTTATAGTGCTTTAATAGTTGCTGTAACAAGCTCTTATAAGATTGTTTTAATTCTTGTGGTTAAACCTAAATTATTTGTAGGTTAACGTGAACAGAACAATTCTAATATAAGCTTATGTATAAGAAGTCTTAAAATATTTTATTTATTGTTACAAAGGTGGATGTCACTGTCAGTGGAATATAACAGGCCTATGGGATCTCATTTTTTAGTGTAATGTTAACATTTCTGAGAGAACTTTCAGTGCCTTATTGAAATTTTGTGTGGCATAATTGTTTACACCCAAGAATAGAAGCTGTTTTTTTTATGAAAGATTGTAACTTCTGCAGCAATTAATGGTTTAGGTCCCATCGCTTGTTAGGACAAACAAGAATTTGACCCTCACTGCACTTTGCATTGCTTCTTCTGTAAGACTATCTGCTGTAGGGATGGGCAAATTCAAGGTGATACGTGCTGCAAAAACCCATTAATACCCTTTGATGGGTATACATTTTTGGAGGTTAGGTATTGCATAACTCAGAAATGTTTCCTAAAATCATGTTAACACACTGTTAATCATGTAGTAATCTAAAACCATAGTATTCTTAAATAAAAATACCCGTATTGCACAAACTTTAAATACGTGCTCATCCGAAAAAACTTCTACAGACAGTTTAAACAAAAATATTTAACCTTTTTAGTGTGCTGAAGAGCATGGGATTGATAAATTAAAATAAAACAAAAATGAAAACAAACATAAATCTCAATGTTTTATATTTGCTGCTTCCAGTTTGTCTGGAATCCTGTGTCAAGAGGTGGGTAATTGGCTAATCATGTAGTCAATAAGTTTATCAAGTACACTTTGTTCTGGCTCGCACTGGTTCCAGGAGCTAACCCCGCTGTGCCCCTGCAGTTTATATGTACAGTAAAACTCCAATAGTCCGACATCCAATTGTACAGCACTCCCGATAGTCCAGCTTCAGAATAGCAAGAGCCTAGTGAGTGAGCTTCGACAAAAAACGAATCACAAGGCAACAGCTGAACTGAACAAAACTGGACGGGACTGAGTCAGTCTGCCACTGGCACTGAGTGATGGTGGACAGTGCTTGTGCTACAATGAAAAGGGTTAAAAACACTATATACTCTGTGTGTGTGTGTGTGTGTGTGTGTGTGTGTGTGTGTGTGTCTGTGTGTGTGTGTGTGTGTGTGTGTGTCTCTCTCTTTCTATCTTACACCATCTATAGTACCTCCTAATAGTCTGGCATATCCGATAATCCAACACCACCTAAGTCCCAAAGGTTCCGGATTATCAGAAGTCTACTGTAGTAGGAGCCAGGCTGCCTGGCTCTTAGTACATTTAAACTGTAGGGGCACAGCTGGCAGGAGCAGCCCCTGTTCATGGCTAGTCATTGGGGCTACAAAACTGATGGTGGGTGACACTGGCAGGGGTGAAGCCTGTGATGCAGAAACAGATCTGAGCAGAGAGGCTTGGGTCTGTACTTTATGTAGCATTTTTTACTAAAGAGTGTGCCCCTCAGCAGCCTATCTTAACCTTGTCTGAACTTTAAATACTACAGCAGTACAGATGATGCAATCCAGCTGAACTGCTGTACCATTTCACAGTAGTCACTATGCTGTTTAGAACCTCTCATGGGCAGGGCTCGCCAAGCGGCGGCGAGCCCCACTCGCCAGCTCCGCAGTTCTTCGTTCTGCACATGCGCAGATCGCTGTGCGCCGGCTATTCCGGGTTGTAACCTACTTGCCACGGGCGAGTAGATTACATTATTTGTCGAGCTCTGCTCATGGGCATAGGTAATCCACCTTTTTGAGATGTGGTAACAGGGTTGATGGAAGAATTCTTCTATTGGCTTGTCACTGTCTGCTGGGAGTAAGGTCAGTTTAACTACATTGGCCCAGAGGTGTGCATATTTTTCACATCCACTGAACAGCACAGATGGATCAACCAAACTTTTTAGTGTAGACCTGGCTTGTTTAAAAAAAAACAACAATAAAAAATGTTTGGAGGCTGCAACGCTGCCTATAGGCATTCCAAATAGAATGGTCTGGTGAGCTGAATGCATCACTTGAGGTTCCAGTTTCAGTAGGCCAGAGAAGAGTATTTTTGATTGACATTAGTAGACAGGTACTATTGTAGGCCTCTACAGTTGGCTGCCATGAGAAAGTGGTTTAAAGATTTGATAGAGAAAGTGAGACCAAGTCTCTCAGCAAGTCTGATACCCTTTAAATGACTAATTATTTAGGGTATAATATATTTAAAGGCGAGAAAATGAGCAATTTACAAATTGTGACATTTACCTAAAGATTAATATATAACTGACAGGATTTTCATTGTATCTCTAGACTGTACCATATCTTTAGTGTATTCTTTTATGGTTTCTGAAAGATGTATGTTCTGTTTGAGAGAGGGATATTACATTTACTGTTTTTTTTCTTTTGCTTCCCTAAAGCAAATTTAAAGTTTTTGCTTAAACTGATACTTTGAAAGTTACTATTTTGTGGGAGAATTGATCAAAGGAGCTAGTAATTCAAACACCAATACTTTAAGAACTGAGGTTATGTCTACACTAGAAAGTTAGTTGCAATAAGACTGTGAACACAGCCCTGTCGCTAAAAGTCAGTGCTTGTGAACATATTTGTTGTCACTTATTGACAATGTACTTCTACCCTCCAGAAGC